TTCCAAGTTTTCTAAGAAGTCTCCATACTGCTTTCCATAGTGACTGCACCTATTTGCAGTTCCACCAGCAGTGTATGAATGTGCCTTTTCCCCCCACATCCTCATCAACATTTATTGTTGCCTGTATTCTTGAAAATTGCCATTCTGACAGGAGTGGGATAAAATCTCAGTGTAATTTTGGTTTGCATTTCTCTAATTGCTAGAGATGTTGAACATTTTTTTATGTTTGTTGATCAATTATATTTCTTCTTCTGTGAAGTGTCTCTTCATTTCCTTAGCCCATTTATTGATTAGGTTGTTTATTTCTTTGGTGTTGAGGTTTTTGAGCTCTTTATATATCGTGGAGATTAGTGCTCTATGTGAGGTGCATGTGGTATCAATTTTCTCCCATTTTATAGGCTCTTTCTTCATGTTATTGCTTCCTTTGCTGAGCAGAAGCTTTTTAAGTTGATTCTTAATATTAATTCTTGTGCTTTAGGAGTCTTGTTAAGATAGTCAGATTTTAGGCTGACATGATGAAAATTTGGGCCTACTTTTTCTTCTGTTAGGTGCAGGGTCTCTATTCTAGCGCCTAAGTCTTTGATCTACTTTGAGTTTTGTGCAGGGTGAGAGATAGGGTTTTAATTTCATTTTGCTACATGTGGTTTTCCAGTTTTCCCAGCACCATTTGTTCTGAATAAGCTCTCTTTTCTCCAGTGTATGTTTTTGGTGCCTTTGTCAAGTATGAGATAACTGTATTTATGTGGATTAGTCTCTGTGCCCTCCATACTGCACCATTGGTCTACATGTCTATTTTGATGCCAATACCATGCCCTTTTTATTACTATAGCTCTGTAGTATAGTTTAAGGTCTGGTATTGTGATGCCTCCTGCATTACTTTTCTCACTAAGTATTGCTTTGGCTATTTTGGGCCTCTTACTTTTACATATGAATTTAATGATTGCCTTTTCTAGTTCTATGAAGAATGTCATTGGGATTTTTTTTAATATTTATTTTTTAGTTGGACACAATACCTTTATTTTGTTTATTTATTTTTATGTGGTGCTGAGGATTGAACCCAGGGCTTCACATGTGCAAGGCAAGTGCTCTACCGCTGAGCCACAACCCCAGCCCTCATTGGGATTTTAATAGGAATTGCATTAAATCTGTATAGTGCTTTGGGTAATATGGCCATTTTGACAATATTAATTCTGCCTATCCAAGAGCAAGGGAGATATCTCCATCTTCTAAGGTCTTCTTCAATTTCTTTCTTTAGTGTTCTGTAGTTTTCTTTATAGAGATCTTTCTCCTCTTTTGTTTGATTGATTCCCAAGTATTTGATTTTATTTTCTGAGGCTACTGTGAATGGAGTAGTTTTCCTAATTTCTCTTTCAGTGGATTCATCACTGATATATAGGAACATAATTCACCACATCAATGGATTTAAAGACCAGAATCATATAATCATCAATAGATGCAGAAAAAGCATTTGACAAAATTGCAACACTTCATGCTGAAAACACTAGAAAAACTAGGATAATAGGAACATACCTCAACATTGTAAAAGCCGTCTATGCTAAGCCAAGGTAAGATCATTCTAAATGGAGATAAATTGAAGGCATTCCCTCTAAAAACTGGAACAAGACAGGGATGCCCTCTTTCAAGAGTCCTTGAAACTCTAGCCAGAGCAACCAGACAGACGAAAGAAATTAAAGGGATGCGAATAGGAAAAGAAGAACTCAAACTATCACTATTTGCTGATATGATTCTACATTTAGAAGACCTAAAAAATTCCATCAGAAAACTTCTAGAATAAATAAATTCAGCAACTTAGCGGATATAAAATCAATACCCACAAATCAAACGTGTTCCTATACATCAATGTTTACATTTTTCTGGTGAAAGTCTTGAGAAAAAAAAATCCTAAACTTGAATGAGAACTATTAGCCAGATTTGCTTCTGCAGGTGTTACGTTCTGCAGCAAGAAGTCAAAATCCCATACAGGATATTTCTACAATGTTCACAGTACACAGCTCACAGTTGGAAACACCTTGTGAATCAGATTCTCAAAAATGCTGAGTCAGGAGCAAAATACCATAAAACAGGACCAAGGCCAGGCAGGAGAGACTCACAGCTGCATGGCCTGCCACCCTGGCGAGGGACCCATGGGGACACAGCATACATGATGTCAAATTGACAACCTGAGCCTAGACAAAGGCATCTCAAACTAAGACAGAGAAAACCCTCTTTGTGGAAATCCTATCAAAGCTTGTGTAGAGCCAGCTGTCAACAGATTACAAACACAGCCTCCAAAATCCGGTCCCCAAGAGGCCACTCCAGCTCTCAGAGGCTGACATGGACCTGTGACCTGACATGCTCCGGCTGGACAGTCTGTCCACGGGCATCCCCATCAGACACTGTGTCTGAGTGTTCCAGAAGCTGGAGGCTGCTCCACCCCTGCATCATGGAGCTACTCTGGTGGGCACAGGGCCACACCACTTGTGGTGCTCACTCTGAGGTGGAGCTGGCCAGAGCCCTGGTGTGCAGTAAGTGAAACTGGGAACAGTGAACTCAGGTGAGCATCCTGGATTGACCCACTCCACGTGTCCCATCGCGCCTTCCTGCTGCTGGTGTGAGGAGGGAGGCCAGCCTTGGAGACTGAAGGCTCTGGGCAGTGAGGAGAAGTGTGGCTTGTGGGCAGCGGCAAGACAGAAGCACCAAGATTAAGTTGACACCTTTCTGGTTGCTTTTTAAATGCAGCTACTGGAGAGTTTTCAATCACACCTCTGGCAGCACCGTGTGTCTGTTCAACAGGGCTGGTACCAACAGCACCCATGTTGCTGGGTGCCTTCATTTAATGACCTTTTTAAGTGCCATTTGAGAAAATATGAGTTTTACCCTAGATTTTAATGCTCAGAACTACAATTACCTACATAAACTCTACACACACGATCATCCTCTCTTCTGAAATCACAAAAAGAAATAAGAAACAAATGCCATAAGTTTTTCTAATCTGGGCTTACTGAAATTCAATTCTGGTTTGATGATAACTAGGTAAGATCAACGAAACTACAACCCGAGCCCAGCCTGCTCACTGAGATAGAATATAAAATTAAAACCCAAAACAGGTAATTCTGCACCGAAGAGCATAAGTGAATGGATCAAAATCTGTATCACTGAATAAGAAACCTTTATATTAATTCTACAATTAATTACTGACAAAAATAATCAAACAAAGGTATTGAGCTGAGTTGTATCAAAAAATCCACCCATCCACAAAAAGATATATCAAAAAACAGCTTCACATTCAAATTTAATAAGCCTGCAGCTTTAAGTCACAGACACAAATTAATTCCTTTTCTGATGGGCAATAGTGTAGTGCCTCTCGCATCCTCATCCACGACCTTTGCTACCTTCTGGGTGCGTCTTCAAGTGTGTGCCCTGTGCTTGGTGGAGGCTCCCCCAAGGATTGCAGCAGGTGTGGCGAGGCTGACTGACCCTGTTGGGGAAGGGTCCGCTGAACTCTGAGATGTTGCCTTCTCCTTAATAAAGGTGGCTAGCTTCAATTCTAATCTTTGCTTGAAAATTCACATTTGTCGTTGGCAACCAATACTGCCTGCCACTCGTTTTTCTGGAAGGGACGGGCACAATCTGCTGGGCGTTCAGAAAGTGTCTGGGGAACGTCTGAGCAGCTGTGGTTCATCCCCAGTCGGTCTCCCCAGGGAAAGGCGGGTTCAGAGGCAGCAAACTCAGTTTGCAACTCAGCCAGCCAGGAAGGGCCTCCTCTGAGCGCACTGTCACACACCCTTAGGAGGCCTCAGGGGTGCTGTGGACATGCTTTCTCTTTCATCCCAAAACTTGCAAACATGCTTTAGGGTTGGTGCTTCAAGGTTGTCCTCAGAATCACTTCAGTGAGGAATTATGTGATGCTGGGTAAGTGAGTGGTGGTGACTCACCTTGCTGTCCCCACTCACCTTGCTGTCCCCACAGTACAGAAGGCCAAAGATCCCTTAGCATTATCGGAGAGCGGGATTGACCCCATCTGGGGGTGACTAGCTTAAGAAGGCTGAGTGAATGTCTACCAGGGACAGGATAATAAGCTAACAGCCAGGGCACTTGGCTAAAGCCTCCCGAGACTCCAGGGCTGCAGGGATTCACCAGCTGCAGGGTTCATCTGTTTTTGTTGCTAATTCTGAGCTTGACAATTAATGAATCTGCATGAAAAAGTGCAGCCTGAGTCCTGGCCCAGGGGTGTGGTGACAAGGGCTCTGTCCTCACCCCTGGGCAACCCTCTCCAGGGCCTGGGTTTTGAGAACTGGAGTTGTGTAAGGATGGGCAGAAGCCCGTGGAGTCCTACCAGAGGGGCTTGTACCTGCCCATGGGAAGGTCGTGGGCCCTGTGCAAACCCCAGGCTGGGACAGGGGCTGGCTGCTGGCCCACCACCAGGGAACAGCCCTGCCCACTAGAGGAGACTGGGCATGGCTTTCTTTTTAGTTCTCCAGGCACCCATCTCTACTGCCTTTCCTTCCCTGCTGAGGACTCTGCCAGACTCCCCCCAACTCACTTCACCTGCCCCAAGTCAGAAGGAATACAAAGTCAATAAGTAAATTAACCTGCGGATCTACACAATTCTGACTCTTTAAAGCTCTCGAGTCAATAGCCCTGGGAGGCTCCCTCTGCACCTAAGGTTGTTACTCAGGTATACGAGGCTGCCGCAACATTTAGAGTACAGCCTGTAAATCTCCCAATCTGAGATCATAAAAGAAAATAGACAAAACATTAAAAGATTTGACTACTGGGCTGTTTTGTCATTTGATGATAACATAAAAAAATCAGTGAAGTTTTAAGAGGATCTGCACGTTAAAAAAAAAAAAAAATCAATGTATGGGAAACATAATGCACTGTTGTGAGCCCCAAGGCACCGTCAAGAGGACCCTGTCAACTCCAATCAGATTGCATTCCAGCCCCCCAAGGCTGCGACTCACCCGTACAACCAAAGACAATACCAGATAAACACGTACCCACTGCGTCTGTGCCATCTCCTTCATCGACTCCGTGAAGGCGACTGCAAATCTAGTAAATGAACAAAAATAATGGAGACAATTAGGCCAGAATTCAATTAACAAAACTGTGAAACAGCTCCTCGGAACAAATGATGAGAGACAGGGTAAGGCACTGAATTTAAAGTGCAATCAATCTTTATTACTTGTGGTCACTGACCATTAGGTTCACACTCCACTCACATCAAAAAAGTTGCTTGTGGAAGAAGTAAACCAAATGATGCTCAAAACTTCCTATTTTTCTTGTTAATTCCATGCAAGGTCAGAGAAGCAGGGGTAGAATTAAAGCCAGCAAGCCAGGTGCAGGAGAGAAGCAGGGCACTTGGCTAAAGCCTCCCGAGACTCCAGGGCTGTGGGAATTCATCAGATGGGCAGGAACACCTACGTGTTATTTATTGGATTTGTTCATTTGGTTATTTACTTTGTTTTTTAACCAGAGATTGAACCCTGGGGTGCTCTACCACTGAACCACACCCCAGCCCTTTTATTTTATTTTTTTATTCTGAAGCAGGGCCTTGCTAAGCCATGGAGGTTGGTTGGCCTCGAACTTGTGATCCTCCTGCCTCTGCCTCCCAAGTCACTGGGATCGAAGATATGCACCATCATGCCCGGCACTTCTACATTTTGATACAGTTAAATACTTCTTCAGCAAATGTGCAAGGGGCTCTCAAGCTAAGAATGAGAAGGTATTCATGAAGTTCTTGTTTGTCATGAAGTACAGAAATATTAACAGATACCTCTTAATGGAAATGAATACCACATTCCTAGGTGGGAAGTATATGAAGATGTTCCTGTTCACCAAGTGAGATGAGAATTCAATAGCAGTGCAAAGGGCATCCTGGCCCATCGCCAGCTACTGCTGTTCACCCAGGGAACAGGGCTTCAAGGAAGGCTGCCGCATGACCAGGACCAAGAAGATCAGAAGTCCTAGAGGGCTTCATCCCAGAGGGCACCTTGAGTCAAAGGCTCGGGAGACCATGGTGGGCACTGGAGGCCGTCCATCATTCCTGCCTGACAGTGTCACTATTCCAGGCAAGCAGGCAGTGTGCCCCCTCTGAGGGCGCCCTGTTTCCGCCCTCCTCAGAGAGAACGCTCTAGAGTGTGGAGCCCTAAGGCCCTGGGCCAGGAAGGAACTTGAAGACAGCAGCCCTCTTGTGAAAGGTGTCCAACAAGGACCCTTGCACCTTGGTTGAATATTGGGTTTACCCACTTTGCCTTGTGATTCTGTTTGTTGAAAACATCAGTAGTCAAGACTACAGCTCAGAAAACTACGGATGGAATTACCGGTATTTAGCTAGTGCTGACCTACCAAACAGCAGAGTCACGGCATTAACCTAGGAGGTGCAGTTTTCTAATCATGAAATGACTTTTATGCTGCTTCAGTTTATGTCAACCCTCTCTGGATCATTGATTTAACAATATTTTCCCCAATAGCTGTCTGAATGATGCTCCATGAAATGATTTCCACAATTTTGTGGATACTTTTAATTTAATTTTGATATTTATAAAATAATTGCCAAATTATTACTATATTATAATATTTACAAGCTGAAGATTGATACTAAATTAAAATTGGACACTATACTATATAGAAAAAAAAGGCTAACATATGAAAGAAAATGTTTGAGCTATTCCCTATAGAAAAAAAAATGCACTGATTTAAGAATTATTTGATGGAAGATGAGACACCACAGAATTAGGCAAGGTCCAGGCTTTGCTTTATAGAACAGGGACTCTGGTGTCAGCCAAGACCTGTTTGATGCCTGCAAATTTCTTGCCCACTAACTTCAATCAGTGACCCCCAAATAAAAATCAAAATTGTTTTAATAACAATGTAATGAATAATACTAATGATAATACCATTAAGATGGATTCGCTCCGTATTAGTTCTAGTAAACAGAATTATTTTTCTTCTTTAAAACTGTGTGTTAAAAACCACATGATTCTAGAGGTAATAGTGTTTGGAGCGTGAGACCACCACAGAGAAACCCTGTAGGAAGGCTGCCCTTCAAGGCGGTCCCCAAGGGTCAGCGCCTTCGTCCACTGGGGGTACACATGAGCATGCACTCAGAATGTGGGTCTCCATTTTCAACAGGCTGCATTTCCACCCACTTGGGCTCAGCAAGTCCTCAAGAATAACAGGGTCCCGGCATTCCCTGGCCCAAGGGGTGTCCAAAGACTGCACCCACGTTACACAAATAGGCTGCCCTGGGGGTTGGGGGTGACCCAGCTACATAAACACACAAGCATTCCAACGTCCCCAGGGCTCGACAGCCAGCAGACGTCATGATGAGCTACAGAAAACTGACAACTGGTGATTTATCAGGCTAAAAACCGATTATCCGGTTGAGTTTTCTTTTGCTTTTACAGTGACACGAAGATTAAAAACAGTGGAAAGGACCTGCGGGCAGTCCCTGGATATGGGGTTGCTCTACAGAGGTGAGCCTTTTTCAGGGCAGCAAGTGGGTGCCTGGGAGGTTTAACGGCACAGGCCCAGCCTCCTGGACCCCACAAAGCCTGCCACTCGCCTCGAAATGTGTCGTTAGCTTAGCCCTCTATTTTGGGTACATGTGCACATTCACTTCTTTCAATCAACCTCCTCTTTCTTCCAAGTTGGCATGGAACAGTGGAGGGCACCTATTGCTGCTCTAGGTCTGGCTCCTCGTATAGCTCTGTAGCATTCGTTACGCAGTAGGGTCCAACTTACTCCAGGCTGCCGTACAAATACGATTACCGCTAGGGTTTCAATACGAAGTGTCCCCCAAGACTTATGTGTTGAAGACCTCTCCCTAATGCAGCCATATCCAGAGGGGGAGTGTGGGGCAGTGAGTGGATGAGGGCTCTGACCCCACTGGTGGTTCATCCATCGATGGATTCGTAATCTGAATGGACTCCTGGGATCGGGTAGAAACCACAGGAGCAGCTGAAGGGACCCAGCTGAAGGAGTGGGTTCTGGGGGCATGCCCTTAAGGACTTCATCTTGTCCCTGGCTGGTCCTCCCTCTGCCATCCCTTGCTTCCTGGCTGCCCAAAGCTGAGCAGCTTTCCTCAGCCATATGCTCTTCCACCAAGATATTCTTCTGCCCTCCCTCAGGCCCAGAGCGTGGTGCCAGCTAGCCGGACTGAGGCCTTTGAAACTGTGAGCCAGAGTACATCTTTCTTCTTTTAGTTGTTTTCCTTCAGGCTTTTTGTTCGTTGTTGAAAAAGTCTGACAATACAACCATTTTCTATGTATGCCTTGTTAAAAATCAAAATCACAACCAATTTAAATATTGTGCTTTAGTTAGATTCTAGGATCAGAAATGCCTCCGTAAACAGGGTGAGCGTTCTGATGAGCTGGGTGGGGTCAGTCAGCTTGACAGATGGGAAAGGCCCTCAGCAACTTAGTGAGACTGTAAGCAACTTAGTGAGACCCTGTCTCAAGTTAAAAAATAAAAAGGGCTGGGGACATGGCTCAGTGGTAAAGCACCCCTGGGTTCAATCCCCAGCACCAAAAAAAGAACTATACCGCATGTGCTCTTTTGAACACCTGGGCAGGAAAGCTCTGGAAGTGATTCCAGCTGAGGTTCTGACCTCCCCACCTGGGGGTAGAAACATGTGCAGGCATACTGGTGGCTGCAGTGATGGAGCTGCTATCCACATTCAGCATCTGGGGACAGGGGCTTGTCCCCCAACCCCATAGGATATGGGATTCCTGGTCCCAGGTGCTCGCAGTGCCACCTTTGAGCAGCACCCCACAGCAGCGGACAGACTTATATTCCTTGTACTCACAGCATGGCTGGGAGTAGCATGACTGAGCAAAAGACTGAGCCGTGGTTTAGGGATCCAGCAGGTGGCCTGTCTTGCAAAGGATGTGCAGAACTCAGGAAGTGACAGGCAGGAGCCCTGCAGGGAGCAGCAGCTGGGACGAACCTGAGTCAAGGTGCACCTCATTCATGGGCTGATAAAGCAAGAGTTCCCTGTGTCATATGAGAAGGCAGCATCTGTCTTTTCTGCCACGGGGACAGTCTATAAGAACCCACCCAGTATTAAGTGGAGGCCAAGGGCCCGGAGTCGGGTACTCTGAGGATTCACGGCCACACACCACTGTGGCACATGAGGGGAGAGGTGCTGGGAAGCTGGTTGCCTGTGGGTAGATGGGAACTGTCTAACAACCGCTCTGCTCAGTCTTTCAGTGAATCCCATGCAAGTGGGTTCAGTGTGGGACCCGGGAGCTTCTCGGGGGTTACCTGGCTTCCTCGAGCACTCTCCCCATCACTTCGTTTTTTTCCCTGTGGTTGGCATCCTCGTTTAAATCTGTTCCCCCGAAGATGATTCCAAAAGGAATATGATGACCTGGGAACCGGTGACAGGAAACAAGATTTAGCTTTGGAAACGTCCCCAGCAACCCACCCCAGAGGATGAATGGAAAGCTGCCATTTCAGAGCAAGGCGCTGTACGGAGCGGAGGAGTTCGGTCTCAGCCCACAGCGGCAGCTGAGATCCGTCACTGGAGATGCCAACCGCTGTGTCCATGACTGGCTTTTGTTTTTTCAATTAATTTGCTTTAAATTTTATCAGATGAAAAATATTGGTAGCTACCATCTACCAAAGCCAAGTTTATCATTTCTGGGAAACAAGCTCATCTGTGACCATCGAGGTTTGTGACAGAGAAAGGGGCCTCCCAGCTTAGAGCTGTCGTTTGTCATCATGCCAGCCAGTGGCTGAGGGGATGTAAGAGACATGATCCCAACCAAGTCCCCAAGCAGTATGCAGCACAGCAGGAGGGATAAATCATAGCCACAGGGCTGCAGTGGGAACCAGGTACCCACAGTGCTGAGCACTACAGCAGGAGGGACCCTGAGAGGGCAGACGCAGACTCCCAGTGGAGGCCAGGTTGAGGGAAGCACAGGGCGAGGCTGTCCCTGGCTCACTCAGGAACCAAGTCATGGGCACCAAGGTGCACAGATCAAGTTCAATGATGTGCTCATCACAAACGACTCCCCTGCTCCCTGAAAGGACTTCCAAAGGTCAACTAGAGTCTCCAAAGGCTCTACGGCCTGCAAACCCGCAACAGGTCAAGTCCAACTAGAGTCATCCTGGGGTTTGCCACACAAGCTGATCCCTTTGAGTGTGTAAGGGAGAGATATTGAACTTTCCTTTTAATCAAAGGAATTGTTTTCATCATGGAAATTAATAGATTCCATCTTTCTCTGTCTATCTAGATTGCTCTCACCCTAGAACGTCACTGCCAAGAATTCAGCCTCAAGATACTGAGCAGAGCTGTAATGCAAGTGCGTGCGATAAAGGTGCTAGAAGAGGGAGAATCTGAGACACAATCTAGCTGATCACTGGTGGAGACAAGCCTTGTTTTAGGAGGGGTGTGTGAGTGTGTGTGTGTGTGTGTACTCAGAAAACCTGACAAAATCTACTGCTAAGTGAGGAAAACAAGCACGTGTTGGTCAACACAGTGTGTGTGTGGCTGTGATAAATATGTTTCTCTACACATCTAACATCTGTGCAAAGACACTCGACACAAACTGCCGCGGCCTCTGGGAAGACCCACCAGGCCCCAGGTCCTAATGGGTAACACTGAGGTTCACTCTCTGATGCTTTATGCTGTTGGAATTCCTGACTGTGGACCTGTATGAACTTTCCCAAGATACACAGGCAGAACAGGTACGTAGTGAACCTGGTTCCCCGAGCAGCAGGCTTAGGTCCTGAAGATGCTGGGATGGGCTGATGCTCACCCCATGTGGGAGGACGTGACTCTCTGGGGACTAACAGATCTCTGGGGGCAGTAGGGCAGCCAGTAGAACTGAGGTTGCTAGAAGCTGCCTGCAGACAGGGAAGACCACCCTGGGCTATCCCAGTGGTCCATCCTAAGGGTCAGGAGGGAGGCAGGTGTGGGTCACACAGGGAGACAGCCATGGAGGGCTTGGAGCTGCAGGAGGGGCCATGGGGCAAGATGAGAACTGACCCAGGAGCCTCTGGGGGTGAGCACCACCTGCTGAGCCCCTGTAGCTTAGGACCTCTAGATCCACAGGTGTCCAGAACTATGGGACAATGAATGGGTCCTGTGGTACCTTGTCACGCAGCATTAGGCAGCCAATGCAGCCTAAGCCACCAAGGAAGTTCCCTTGGCAAAGACTGCTGGTGAAGAAGGCAAAAGAGGAGAGAGGGAAAGCCTTTCTCAGCACCTAAAACGCTGCTTCAGAGGCAAGCAAGGCCCCAGGTCTGACTGACACAAAGACACCCTGCTGTGGTGGGGGAAGCGCCAGACTTGGGCTCCAGTCCGCCCTAGGCCCTAGGCTCCAACCAGCTACGCCTGGAAGACTTGACTTAGGGCAAGGTGCTCATTGCTCTGATCCTTGCCCTCTCCCCAGAAACAGGAATGGTACTAATTAGCTGGTTAACTGACTGATTGCTGAGATCTTAGAAGAGACTGTGCACAACACGCCAGGTTCCCAGCAGACGCCACACGCTGCTTTACACCAAAGACACTCGAATACACCAGTCCAGAAATTCTCTGAATTACATTAGCACTTAGAAGAATGGAACGTGAGCTATTTCACCTACTTATTTTTTCAGTTCTCATTTTACAGTTAAGAAAAGGAAGTCCTAAATAAGTTGCACGTTAGTCTTAATCACAAGAGTTTTTTTAAAAAAACTCACCATAATTGTAATTGATAAGTTCTAGAAGCCCTTTTGGACTTTTTCTGCAGCATGATATGTGGAGAGTGCATTTGCAAAGCTATTTTTATTAGTGTACATATTTATGGTGTTTTGAAATATGTGCACATTGTAGGATGGCTAGATCAAGCTCATTGATACACACATTACCTCTCAGACTGTTCATTCTGTGGTAAGGACATAAAAGCTATTCTCCAGCAATATTCAAGATGCAGTTCATTTCTGTTAAGGACAATCAGCATGTTGCACAACAGATCTCCAGTTTCCTCCTTCTGACTAACTGAAGCTAGAGTCTTTACCAATGGCTCCCCAGTGACCCCACAGCAGCTTCTGGAACCATGGTTTCAGCCTCTGCTTCTAGGGTTCCTGAGATTCCACAGTAAGTGGGCTCCTGGGATCTGTCTTTCTGTGTCTGGCTTATTTCTCTTAACAGAATATCCTTCTGATTCATCCAGGTATTTGCAAATGAGAGGATTTTCAAAGCTGGAATCCCACATGTATATATACCCATTTTCTTTATCCACCCATCTACAGATGGACAGTGAGGTCAATTCCCCATCTTAGCTGTTTTGAACAATGCTTCAGTGAATGTGGGGTGCAGATGTCCTAAGGAACACAGGGGAGACCCTCTCCAAAAGTGTATGCAGTGGTCTACTCACCAGTATTGCTTACAGTTGAGGGGAAAATGGAAATAGACACAATCTTTCCTAGCCAACCATACTGTGGAAGACCACTCAAGGACAGAAGGAATGGTCTAAACATTGTGTTAGGTAAAAATAGATAACTGAATTATGACATGACTGCAATTTTAAAAACACCCACAATCTGCAGAGTGAGAGCTGGAGGGTGGGCTGGAGGAAGAGAGCTAGCCGGATGCCGGGTTTCACTTTCGGAAATCACCAATTCTGTTTCCTCTGCACAGCAAGTGGTTAGACTCCTTCTTGCTCAGTCACCTGAGCCTGTCGGCTGCCCTGTTAGGTTTAAGCCTGAGCATATTTTCAACAAGAAACACAGGAGGGCTTCATTCACACAGGGGACTGCCAGCATCAAATGTCCTGGAAAGTTGTCTCTCACACGCTGGTTAAGGCCCCTGAAAGGAGCTGCAGGGTGGCAGGTGTCACAGCCCGAATGAGAACAGCTACAAGGGTCCCTTATTAAACACTCCAGAGACTGACTGCAGTGTGGACAGGCCCAGAGGGAGTAATGAATGTGCCATTTCAAAGTTCACATTTGTACTGTTTTCTGAAATACTCCCACTATTACTGCAGTATATCTGCAAGGCAGACCAATGTTGCTAAGGTGCTAGCCCTTTGTCTGCATATTTGTTCTAGCAACTTTCTTACTTAATCATGCCCTCAGCAAATACTAATTTTAAAAAGAAAAGTCAGCTGGGAACGGAGCTCAGTTGATAGAGTACTTATCTCTCATGCACAAGGCCCTGGGTTCAATCCCCAGCACCACAAGGGAAAAACAAACAAAAAGTGAACTTGCACTTGTCCAGGTTAAGGTCTTGCTTATGTTGAATACACACAGCCACACACCCATGGCTTGTTTTCCTCCAGCAATATGTATCAGAAGCTTAGAAATGCCTACACCCTAAGATCACTTCTAGAAAATTCTAAAGTAAGTGAGATGAAATCTTTTCCAAAAGAATATGTAAACGTCTGTTCATCAATACACTGTTTATAACTGAGGGGGAAATAAGATGCAATCCTTCGACAACAGAGGCAATGTTCTGATAATGTTTTTAGGTAAAAATAAGTAACTAAACTAAAAGTACCATATGACTACAATTTAAACATACACACTGTGCAATATGGTGAGAAACCTGAGCAGCATTTTGAGTATTTCATATCTGCTTAGCCCCTACTCAGCAGCCCACAAACA